TTATTTCAATTCCTAAAATTTACCGCTTTATGTACTTCAATTCAGTGTAATTTAATTTAATGAAGTATGCTTGCTTTTCCCTTTTCTAAATGCTTATGTGAATACATATACATATTTAAATTCCCACAATGCATTTTTACCGCTTTTTTTTATTATGACAAAGGGAGAGAAGTATACTATCTACTTAATTGAGGGGGAATTTAACCACTCCAAGTTTTTCCGCCTATCTTTTCTTTTACCACCTTCCTGAAAGATGCATTTTCATCATAAAAAAGAAGGAGAATGTGGAACCATGTTTTGCAGGCCATCGAAGAAGTGATCAAAGCTAATGACTATCAATGGTTTGCTGTTGATAATGGCAACTTGGTCTCACTAAGATAACTTGTAAAGATGCGAGCATAAATCCAAGAAAATATGTTAAGCGACTAAAGATGCACAAGATAGTTTTGTTCAAAGCCTTTCCTTAGAATCAAGAAGATGAACTAGGGTTGTTTGATGATCTTTACCCTCTGATGATGACACTAAACTTGAAGATATCTCAAGCCTCATCTCTAACAAGATTCAAGAAAGTTCTCATATGATTGGTTTATTTGGCAAAGTCTTGAATATTTAAATTATAAAAGAGAGGATGTGAGAAATCTCGCCCAATCGCATTTGAGTGATCAATGTCTTGTAAAAACACAAGGGAATTTTCGTAGTCATATGGCTAAATCACACACACACACACACACACACAAACATTTTTTAAATCCTCTATTTCTCAAAGAAAACAACCTAAAAATGTTTTAGAGTTGTGCTAGTTGAATCAAGAAATGCCAAAATGCTTTGGACACATTTTTGAACTATCCAATCAATTGGAACATATACTTAATTGATTGGGTAAGTGAAAATGATGTCCATAAAAAATTGTTATAGGGTATTGAAGGGAAACGACAATCTTTCAAAACCTTCCAAAATGAGGACCCAATCAATTGTGACATTAGATTGGCCCAAGGAAATTATGCCAACCTCTAGCCTACAAATATAGGTATTTTCATTCACATTTTCACATCTAGAAACGTGTTCCCTCTCTCTCTCTCTCTCTCTCTCTCTCTCTCTCTCTCTCTCTCTCTCTCTCTCTCTCTCTCTCTCTCTCTCTCTCTCTCTCTATATATATATATATATATATATATATATATATATATATATATATATATATATATATATATATATATATATATATATATATATATATATATATATATATATATATATATATATATATATATATATATATATATATATATATATATATATATATATATATATATATATATATATATATATATATATATATATATATATATATATATATATATAAAAATTCTAATTTCTCTTAATTTAATTTAACCGTAGAGTTTCGAGAAAGTCTTTGTGTTTAAGTAAGGCTTTTGTTCTAGAAAAGGGGTAATATTGTAAATTCACCAAGAGGTATTTTTTCTTGGTTGAATAATTTCTCTTAAGGGAGTGTTTGTTTGGGTTCAAAGTTAAAACCATTAAAAGCTTGGTTTATGAATTTAGTATTAAGTCTCTGGTTTGTTTCGAGTTCAGCTCATGTGAAAGCTTAATTTGGTTTGAGATATGCGTGGTATAAAATCTCAATTTAGTTCATAGTCAGCATTTGTAAACATCCATTTCTTTCGAGATAAGTCTGGTGTAAAATCTCAATTCGGTTAGGGGGAAAGCCAATTTCAAAATCTTCATTGGTTTGAGATAAGTTTGTATAAAATCTCAGTTTAGCATGAGGACTAAAAACTTCAAGTTTGTGTTTGGAAGGAAGACTAACTGCTTCAACATGCTCTTCTTTGTTTGGTTGGATGTTAACATAAAATTTTACTTTCCCTGTATAAAGGGGTTCGTAAGCTCAACCTACTAAAAGCTTATAAGCATTACTGGATACTCTCAAGATCAATTTTTGAAAAGAGGATAAGGTTACTTCATTTAGACCGAACCTTTATAGTTTTTTGTGTTATCTCTTAACCCTTATCTCTTTATTTTCCGCTACTATTATTCAAATGTTTTTATTGAAAATATTTTCAAACTTAAAATGAAAACAATAATATGTTAAACTATTGTTTTTTAAACCCTCACAATTCACTCCCCTTTTGTGTGTGGAGTTATATGTCCAACAATACATTTCAAGTATAACATGCCTTGTTTACCCCCAAGACCCTAGTTCTTTATGTATAAAGTGATTAAGTAAGAAATGTATGTATGATTTGATTATCATATTAGTTCTTAAAATTCATTTATTAATCATTAAAAAGAATTATTGTCTCTTCAAGGATGATCAAAGTCTTTAGAAAGGATAATTCATTTCATTGTAGTTTGCGTAAACAATTCAATATTCAAGCATTTTAATAGTTGTTTTCTCACAAAATTATCCCCAATCAATATGGTGTTTATATTAAGCAGACGTTATTATTAAATGACATAGAGAATTGAAACAAAAAGTTATCCCCATTTTATACGTTGTTGATTTGTTCCATGTTAGAAAGCATATCATGGTTGGTCGAAGACAAAGAGCTATCACTCAAGTGAATCCTGAATGTTTTATTTTATTTTACAAATATGCATCTTGGGTTTATGGGGTTTGAATGTAGAAGATGAAGGATATTGACTTGTATGATTTTTTTACGATGTAGTGAAAAACTTGTTGAGTATAACAAGTGTGAGTAGTATGGTTAATAGTGCCATATTTGCTAGGAATGTGGAGACTTGAGCATTTATAAGTGAGAGAAATCACACACTATCACCTTAAGGTTTTGGGTGAGTATGTGGTGCGTCTCTCACAAAGGTGTTGCTCTAGAAAGGAAGTCCCACAAAGTAACAATGCTCCCTAGTGAAAAGTTCCCCTAACAGTTGTATCATGAGCCTTTAGTTTGAGTGAAGGACCGACTCACTTGTATCGAAAGTATCTCTACAGGCGGTGGGTTGAATGTCCCGTTGAAGAGTGTCAATGGCGGTACAAGTGTATATGGATAAAAAGAGCTGTCGCTACTCGAAAAATGCGTCGTGCAACGACGGGGAGGCGAAAAGAAAGGACAGAAGAGTCGCCACCGAACTTTATTTATCCCATGAGGGGAAAGGAAAATATCGAGAAAACCTTAAGAAAAGAATGGATAAGATGGTCTCGCAACCAAGAACAGGTTCGGAAGCCGGTTATGCGAGGGGAAGGTATTAGCACCCCTCGCATCCATCGTACTCGATGGGAACCATTTGTTTGTCGACGTGTGAAATTATTTGCTTAAATATTATGCTATAAGAAGTGTTCCACAGGGTAAAGAAAGGTTAGAAACAGGAAAGTTATGAGGAAAGAGAGAACGGGGAAAAAGAGAAAGAACAGACTCGGTAGGACTTCGCAGTCCTATGCCTACGTATTCTCAATAGACATGAGAAAGTCAGAGTCGACGTAGTTCGGGGAACTACAGATATAAGGGGAGTGTGCTCGGCAAGGATTGTGGCCCTTGTGCCTACGTATCTTTACTTGAAGAAGTAAAGAATCAGAGCAGCCGTAGTTCCGCCTACGGTGCGGATAACCGGTGTGTTTGGGGATGATGTTATCGTGCGCATTCTAGCAGTTTAGGTGTTTTGCTGCTCGCATGTGAGGAGACTTATGCGTACCTGTTTGCGGTAGAACGGACGTAACATATCCCGTTTGAAAGGTTGGTTTTCGCCATGCGAGGCAAGGTATCATGTTTGATTGGTTGAGATTGTTTTGGGGCGAGATATGTCCTCAGATAGTAACCCCTACGGGTAGTACCCAATTCTTTATCTCAAAGTTTTTGTTATAAAAGGGTGTGGCGAACGAGGCGTCTTCGTATTGAAAGATGAGCGTCGAAACCACCCTCACTACAGTGGGCATCCCTACGCTCGGAGAAGAAGAGGTCTACACCCAATCCTCTCTCTTTAATTCAATGCAAAGAGAACTTCGTTCTCTTATTAAAGATGTTTTTGGTTTTGAATGGTAAGTGCTTTGCGACAGAGAACCCTACGGTAAACGTCAGCACTCGGGATGGGAGAAGGCCTACGCCTAACCACTCCACGACCATTCAAGTTTTTGTTGTGAAAATAAATTGAAAATGCACTCGGTACAGGACCGAGGTTTTAGGTGTGAAAATTGTGGAAGGAAGTTATGAAAGCGAGATGGTGGATAAAGTCGCGTCTTCGTATTGAAAGACGAATATCAAGACCACCCTCACTACAGTGGGCATCCCATCATTCGGAGAGGAAGAGGTCTACACCTAATCCTCTCTTTTTAATTCAATACAAATAGAAATTAGTTTATTATTGAAAGTGTGCTCGGTACGGGACCGAGGTTTTAGGAGGAAAAGTTTAGAAGCGTCTTCGTATTGAAAGATGAGTGTCAAAACCGCCCTCACTACAGTGGGCATCCCAACACTCGAAGAAGAAGAGGTCTACACCCAATCCTCTCTCTTTAATTTAATACAAAGAATATGATTTAAAAATGTTTTCGAAGATACACTCGGTACGGGACCGAGGTTTTAGGAGGAAAAGGGGTGGAAGCGTCTTCGTATTGAAAGACGAGCGTCGAAACCACCCTCACTACAGTGGGCATCTCAACACTCGAAGAAGAAGAGGTCTACACCCAATCCTCTCTTTTTGATTCAATACAAAGAAAAATGAATTTATTATTGAAAGTATACTCAGTACGAGACCGAGGTTTTATGAGGAAATGATGAAGCGTCTTTGTATTGACAGACGAGCATCGAGACCACCCTCACTACAGTGGGCATCCCATCACTCGGAGAAGAAGAGGTCTACACCCAATCCTCTCTTTTTTAATTCAATACAATGAATTGATTTTAAGGAGATGAGATTTGAAAATGGATGGGAAGCGTCTTCGTATTGAAGGACGAGTGTCGGAACCACCCTCACTACAGTGGGTATCCCAACACTCGGAGAAGAAGAGGTCTACACCCAATCCTCTCTTTTTTAATTCAATACAAGGAATTGATTTTAAGGAGATGAGATTTGAAAATGGATGGGAAGCGTCTGTAAGATGGCTTAGAGCAAGATTTGCCATCACCATTTAGGAGCGTAAGTTCATTTTCAAAAACAATATAAGCTTCTGAAAATGCCTTAATACATTGATGGATTCTGAAGCAATTCCTTCCCACATTATTTGTTGGAAAAAGAGGATCATCTATGTGAATTGGATCAATGCTACAACCTCTTTCTCTCTTTATATAAAGTCCACTTCCCTGCACTGATATCCGCATTTGACGGGGATCAAACACATTCCCAAAAAAGTAAAGAAAATCCACCAGAAGACTTCCGTAATTTTGGTTGATCGGCCGGCCAAGATGGTGCTCATGCTGAAGAAAACGTATAATTAATAATACCAAACAGTAAGAACTTAAGCCACCAGAGTAGGACTGATCAAGGCTTCGATCTGCTAAAAACTGTTTTAGCACCAAAGCAAGAGGAGTAGCAGCAGGAAATTGTTCCGTCAACTCCTTGACCATTCCTGTAGTTTGGAGTCCTGTATGTGATGAGGACCTAAAGCTGATGTCAACACGAACTGATTTGGAATCTTTCAAATCATAAAAAATTAGTTTGAGACCTTTTCAGCAAAGCTGGGTCTTCTAACTGGATCGTATCAGAATGACTGTCATTACCATGTTCACCAGTTGTACACTGTGGCTCTTCCTTTAATGAGTTTAACATAGGAGCTGATGAAGTGATAACATCCTGGGGTACTTCCACCACGAGCATAATAATAGGTATAGCAGTATTTTCCACTGTCTTTAGAGAATCATTCTTTACCCATTCCTGATTGGCAAGATACCTAGCTGCATGCTGAAGACATGTTTCTTTAATACCATTACGACCTTCCAATATTCCAGCTTCTTTAATAGGTTCCAGGTTTCTCACTGGAGGGAGACAAACCACGAGGTCAACATCACTTGTTGGAAGAGCCATACCAGTGGCATTGGAACCAAATATGTTTGTCCTGGATCTTGGCCATAGAACCTGCAGAGATCGGGTAACTCTCTTGACAGCCCAATTAATGTAAGGCCTCCTTGCCATGTTTTCTGAGGCAACCTGTTTACAGAAAGAGTCAATCTCATCATGGAGCATTCCATGCATCAAAGATAGAGATGCACTTGTTGCAGAACAGCTTCGTAACTCAGCAGGTTGCAGAGGAATAGTGACATCCGGATGTTCCTGGTCACGTGCTATCTGTGACATCGCAATCAGGCGGTCCTGCAGCAAGGCAGCAGGTAAAGGTTGGATCAGAGGCTGCACTGCAAGGTTTTTACTTCTCCAGGAAGGCCACACAACTTCAGCACCATCCATTCTTAAACAAGCATCCTCTAAATTACTCCCATCATGATACCAGCCTCTCATTCCCCAGTGTCTTGGGCTGGAACTACCAGATCTAACAGTTGGAAAACCCCTTTGTTTCGTATTCGTTTATCATGGAGTTGTTGTGATGATATTGGGTCGGGCGTTTTTGGGTTTGTTCTTCAATGCGATGAAGAAAATGAAAAGTTTTTGAAGAAAATTGAGTGGTTTGGATGGTTAAACGGAAGAAGATACGGAGTGGGTGTGGGTTGGCCGGAAATGGTGAAACGGCGGAGGTTCGTCGAGAATGGCTTTGAAGGATGGTGATATGAAGGTTGTTTTGTGTTTGATGAAGTTTATGGATGTTAGTTGGTTAACGGAGTAAGGATTGGAGAGGTCGAAGATGATGATTTTGGTAATGGAGGGGGCGGCTGGAAACTCCTAGGATTAGGGTTGTGTCTTTGGAGTGTCTAGCAGCTAGGGTTGTCTTGGGAGACAATGAATAGTGCTCATATAAATAGGCTCGTGACACGTGGCAGCTGGGGTTAATGACTGATTAATGATGGTTTTGACTAAATGAACACGATTAATAAAGCTGACTTATGATTTACAAAACAATCTAAAACTGACTGTCACTTATATCCAAATATAATTAAACTAAAATTATTCTAACTAAATATTCTAATAAAATAATAAATAAATAAATAAACTGATAACTTTAAATACTCTAATTAATTCTAAAATCCTAATAAAATTAATATTAATCTAAATAAATAAAAAGAAAATAATAAATAAATAAAAACTAATTAATAAATAAAATCATAAAAAATATTCTATATAAAATTAATAATTAAAACTAATTTCTGTCCTAAAAAAACATAATTCTAAAAACTATTAAATCTTAAAAATAATTTTTTTTAAATTAGTTAAAAATCTAACTACTTAAAATTTTATCTCTATTAAAAATGTATTAAACTATTTCTAAATCTAAATAATAAAACAAAACATGTTAAAACGAAAATAGTAAACAAATTGATATTTACAAGAAAAAAAATAAATTAAAAAGGATTGAAAATTACAAAAATGCCCTCTTGCCACGTGTCACGCTCCTATTGGGCAAAAATATTCGAGATTTGAAAAACGCTCAATCGGGGGCGAACACGTGTCTAAACGACATGAAATTAAATAAAAAAGCAAAAATGGAAAATACGAAAATATTTACAAAAGCTGGCGGGCAAATTTAGGGTATGACAGATGCCCCTATCTAATCGGCTTAGACCGAGTAAGATGAATTACTGCAGCATTCATCTTTCAAGGTATAAGTCGATTAGATACAAAGAAGACCCTGAATTTGTCCAAAAAAGGAAAACAAAAATTTGAGAAATGAAATACAGACAAACCTGACACCCAAAAGGATGTAGGGAGATAAGCTTCTCCGAAGAGATTGCCACTTATCGCTGATTTTAAATGATATGCCCCTGACTGGGCTAAATTTGTCGTTGAAGATGGATAAGCTTCTCTGAAGAGATTGCCACTTATCGTTGAAGATGGATAAGCTTCTCTGAAGAGATTGCCACTTATCACTGAAGATGGATAAGCTTCTCTGAAGAGATTGCCACTTATCACTGAAGATGGATAAGCTTCTCTGAAGAGATTGCCACTTATCGCTGAAGATGGATAAGCTTCTCTGAAGAGATTGCCACTTATCGCTGAAGATGGATAAGCTTCTCCCAAGAGATTGCCACTTATCGTTGAAGTCTGCTGGAGATAACTTACTGGGGAATGCCCATGAATTTACTGGAGATGCCCCTGTCTGGGTTGAATGTTGATTTGAAGATCTTGATTAACCACGAGTTTGAAGTATGTCGTGGGAAATACCCATGGTCTTGAAAAGATGCCCCTGACTGGGCCGGACCTTGCTTTGATATCTTGAATTTCATGGGATGACCCACGACCCTTGCAAATAATGCCCCTGCTTGGGTTGTATGTTGCTTTGAAGCTCTTGAGTTTGTGGGAGGACCCACTATCTTGCAGAAATGCCCCTGACTGGGCTGATGATGATCTTGGGAATCTTCAAGATTGATCCTGGATCTGAACTCGCATACGCGGATGCTTAATGATAATGATGTTCCATAAATGGAAATGCAAATGCAAATGCTAGAGCGCGAAGATGCAAGGGCTGGAGAAACATGATACGATATTGGATATGCGTATGATGCAAGATGATTATGATGTCGAATGTGATGCGTATGATGCATATGATGCGTATGATCGCATATGGGTGATTGAAAACGCAGGTGCCGCCAGGGTGGACTTGGGTGGTTGCCAGTGCTGATTGGACTTTGGGATGGAAGTACCAGATGAGGGCTGGTATTCGGAGGGTAAACCAGATGGGACTGGTTGGCGAAAGGTTAAGCTGTCAGACGAGAACTGACTTCTAGGTTTGGTGTCAGACGGGAACTGACTTCTAGGTTTGGTGTCAGACGGGAACTGACTTTGTGGTTTTCCAGACGAGGACTGGACTTTGAAATTGTTTTTTTCAGACGAGGACTGGTTAAACGGAAGGTGACCAGATGGGAGCTGGTTCAAAAGCTGACATATACCAGACGGGGCTAGGTATTCAGCAAAGGGTTAACCAGATGGGACTGGTTTGAAGGTTACAAGGTTTTGACAGGTAAGGATTGGACTTTGGAGGTTTGGTTTGTTTTGATAGGTGACAGGTTTAGGTTGTGGGATGACGGATCCAATGACAGCAAGGCCTTTTCGGAAGGTTAAGGTTTATTGGGTGAGGTGATGGTACGATTCCCCGACACTCGTTTTGAACTCAACAGTTGCTGACGAAAATGAACTTGCTTGAGTAACTTGCCACGAGACGACCTCGAGATTGGCTTACCCCAGAGTTTGTACCACGAAAGGATTCATCATTATCTAACCAATTCTTGTGGTAGTTGGCTTCAATATACTCTTGGGAGTAGCTTGCTCTTGAAAGAGCGTTAAAGCGACTTAACTTATCCTGATTAAACATTGAAGGGATATATCCTCAAGTCAAAGAAACTCTGGGTGGCCTGCCCCTGATTGGTATGATTCACTTTTGATCAACCGCTTCTTGAATGTTTTGCCCCATAATCAACCGTTGCTTGGGGATTTGCCTTAGACTGACTGATTCCAAATTCGCGGGATGACAACGCCTCAGTTCCATAGGGCTACAAAGTACGCTCGATTCTGATCCAGACTGCTGAATGGTCCAATCCTGTTTGATTACTTTATGTTGGAATTTCCTCGATGCCAACCATTGTCTTGCAATTAAAATTGTTTGTTCACGAATGGTAATCTTAATGCAAAGTTCGTGCAAGTTTTGAAAGAATTGTCGTTTATTTAAGTGTCGTGAGAGTGAAACGAAAGGACCATTTAATCCAAACGTTGTGCTACTTGATTGGTGTAAAAGATATAGAAAGGATATTGACACCAAAGCTGATGATTAACAAATATGTGGGGAGTCAGGTTACGCAACCTTGCGATAGTATGCTTTCAGAATAAACCTCGACTCAATTAGGTCTTTCGAGGGTTGTAACGTGGTCTGGTTCACGGTTATAGAAACAAAGGATATTAGGCTCAAAGTTAATTTGTACCCACCCCTTCTTCTTGATGACTTCCAGTCCTACGTTCAGTTAATTATGCACCTGCTTGACGGTGTAAGCTTGATGGTCAAAGGTTTGCTTGAGATGACAGTCTCCTTATTTTGATGGATGTTAGTAGCTCCTTGATTTGGGTGGCCACTGAATCTTATTTTTTGTTTTTGTTGAGGGTTTGAGGACCTCTTTTGCTTTTGTTTTTGATCCCTAACTTTTGCATGGACTGATTCTGCTTGTCAGATCCATCGGGATTGCCTTGATTTTTGCCTAAGTCCCCTTTGAGGTGCTTGACTTAGCAGGCTTTTTGATTTTTTTAAATTTTGTTGGAAGATTATGACTGCCACGTCATGGGTCATTGATGAACAGCCGTCTTCTGGATTTTGCTTTATGCATAGTGGATTAACTGAACAACTACCCTGCCCCAGGTTGAGTGTAAGGGTTTGAATATCCGAAGGAAACTCCTACTTCTAGGCTCGAAGTGGTTGACTAGGGATTAACTCCTTATATCTCCGGTGTTTAGGGGATTTGAAACAATGCCTGTACATCATCGACGAGATTCTATCTGAAAGCATACAATTTGCAATTATGGGTGTTTCGTTTTTCGTCATCCTCCCTCCAATCTTTGCTAAAACAACAGTGATAAAGTGGAGTGGATAAAAAATGTATGTGTCTGTGATAAGTGGAAATAATGAGTGTATACGACGTGACTGATTCGGAAAATGCATAATAACTCCATTAATATTACCATTCAAAACAACAATGTTTAAACACAAGTAGCAATTAACAGGAAATAAACTACAAGATGCAAATGATAAAAGCGTTCAAGGACTGCCAATGTTGAGGACGTCTGCCTGTCTAGACCACTGGCTTCTGGAAATGACCCTTGAAATATTCGAGTTTAGACAGCTGAGAGGTTGACATGGACAACCAAACTTCCTTCTGGAAAAGAGATGTACCCTTTGTCAATTAGTTGTTGCACCTTGGCTTGGAAGGCTTTGCATTCTTCAGTCGAGTGCCCCATGGATCCTCCATGATATCCACACCGAGCATTGGGATTGTACCCAGGAGGGTAAGGTTCTGGCACAGGCTTAAGAGTTTTAGGCTCCACCAATGAGTGTTGAATCAGATGTGGGAGAAGCTGACTATGCGACATAGGGACCGGATGAAGAGGAGCAGTCCTTCTTTCCAAGTTGTTGTTGGGCCTATTCTGATTTCGGCGCTGATTCGGATGACCTTGGCCATGGACTCGTTGATTTGCATGAGGAGCGACCCATGGCTTGTGGGATGAAGCTTTAGGCATGGCTGATTTCTCATAAGGATAACATGGCACTGGTAATGATGCCTGTTGAGCAGATGAGGGACCAAAGAGTTTTGCTGGTACATCGTGAGGATACCCAATGTTTGCTATGAGTGCGCTAGTTTCATCCTTCTCTTCCTCATGGAAATCGTCGAAAGATTCAATCTCACTGGCCTGGCTGCCTGATGCGTCCTGGATTTGTCCACTTTTGAGGTAACTTTCGAGGCGTTCTCCTACAATCGCAAGGTCAGAGAAGCTTGATGGCGTACAACCAACCATTCTTTCAAGATAAGAGCCCTGCAAGCTGTTGATGAACATGTCAATCAGTTCCCTGTCCGAGAGTGGTGGTTGCACTCTCGCTGCAAATTTTCTCCACCGCTGTGCATATCCCTTAAAGGATTCATTTTCATTCTGAGAAAGGCTTTGCAACTGCATGCGGGTGGGAGGAGTATCTAGATTGAACTGATAAAACTTTAGAAAAGCGTTGGCTAGGTCCCTCCATGATTGGATATGACTCCTTACTAAATCTGTGTACCAACTTAATGATGCCCCACTCAGACTTTCTTGAAAACAGTGGATCATCAACTTATCGTCATGAATGTAAGGGGTCATTTTTCGACAGTACATCACCAAATGACGCCTCGGGCAACTAAAGCCGGTGTACTTCTCGAAGTTGGGCACCTTGAATCTCGGAGGAATCACCAAGTCTAGCACTAGACACATATCAGCAGCATCGAGTCTGGGCATGTCAGACACTCTCATAGCTTGAATTGTCTCCTCAAGGGCACGGAGCTTTTCTTCCATGGGATCGGTCGTTGGCATCCTCTGGGGTCGAGTAAGAACGTTTATTTGCGGAGGATGGTTATCAAGCGGAAGATCATACACTGGATTATTCGTCACAGTAAACCCTTGTGGGGGATCAACATTCTGGCGATCGTTCTCTGGCATAGCTACTTCAACTTGCTTTGTTTGGTTGACCTTTCAAGGCGTCTATGCTCCTCTTGCTTCAAACTCTTCACAACTCTCACGAGTTCCACGGAAGTGTCGGGAAATCAACTGCGGGTTATAACAGAGGATGGGTAAGCTCTTGGTATATGGTTAGGGGAGAAAATGCAAAATGATGCAGAGATGTTTATGCAAATGCAATGCGATGAGTGCACACGGGAACAGATCCATATCAAGGATTAAAGTCACAGATCCTGCAAGACAACAACAAGAGGTATCTCTCCCATCGGGTGGGCAATCTACTGGTTTATAAGAGGGTATTCCAAAGGCTTTTCAAACAAAGTCCCATGCACTAACCCTCAAAAGTTTCCCATCAGAACGACTACTCGTAAGACGGTAATTCTTTCAAAAGGATGAACACAGAGTTATGTTTTAGCAACCTTCGGAATAAGGTTCTACAAAAGGTCCTCAAAATCACAGACTCCCAAGCCGGAAATAAAAACGCCATTACGACTACACGTAAGACATAATTATTCCAACGAGGTCTCATCTGAGCGGTGGAATTCGCTCCAACTCAACGAGTCCTAAGTCTCGCAAATTAGAAAGAATCCACCTCCTAACTTAGTGTATACTCGAAAGCTCGGGTAGAAAGCCTTATCTTCACAAACCATCCCAAATAAACCCAACAAGTTAGTGAACACAATATAAACACAAATAAAAGCAAACAAAATCACACACGTGACAAACAAAATAGGCTTGGCTCGCTAGGGTTCCCCAGCAGAGTCGCCAGCTGTCGCTACTCGAAAAATGCGTCGTGCAACGACGGGGAGGCGAAAAGAAAGGACAGAAGAGTCGCCACCGAACTTTATTTATCCCATGAGGGGAAAGGAAAATATCGAGAAAACCTTAAGAAAAGAATGGATAAGATGGTCTCGCAACCAAGAACAGGTTCGGAAGCCGGTTATGCGAGGGGAAGGTATTAGCACCCCTCGCATCCATCGTACTCGATGGGAACCATTTGTTTGTCGACGTGTGAAATTATTTGCTTAAATATTATGCTATAAGAAGTGTTCCACAGGGTAAAGAAAGGTTAGAAACAGGAAAGTTATGAGGAAAGAGAGAACGGGGAAAAAGAGAAAGAACAGACTCGGTAGGACTTCGCAGTCCTATGCCTACGTATTCTCAATAGACATGAGAAAGTCAGAGTCGACGTAGTTCGGGGAACTACAGATATAAGGGGAGTGTGCTCGGCAAGGATTGTGGCCCTTGTGCCTACGTATCTTTACTTGAAGAAGTAAAGAATCAGAGCAGCCGTAGTTCCGCCTACGGTGCGGATAACCGGTGTGTTTGGGGATGATGTTATCGTGCGCATTCTAGCAGTTTAGGTGTTTTGCTGCTCGCATGTGAGGAGACTTATGCGTACCTGTTTGCGGTAGAACGGACGTAACATATCCCGTTTGAAAGGTTGGTTTTCGCCATGCGAGGCAAGGTATCATGTTTGATTGGTTGAGATTGTTTTGGGGCGAGATATGTCCTCAGATAGTAACCCCTACGGGTAGTACCCAATTCTTTATCTCAAAGTTTTTGTTATAAAAGGGTGTGGCGAACGAGGCGTCTTCGTATTGAAAGATGAGCGTCGAAACCACCCTCACTACAGTGGGCATCCCTACGCTCGGAGAAGAAGAGGTCTACACCCAATCCTCTCTCTTTAATTCAATGCAAAGAGAACTTCGTTCTCTTATTAAAGATGTTTTTGGTTTTGAATGGTAAGTGCTTTGCGACAGAGAACCCTACGGTAAACGTCAGCACTCGGGATGGGAGAAGGCCTACGCCTAACCACTCCACGACCATTCAAGTTTTTGTTGTGAAAATAAATTGAAAATGCACTCGGTACAGGACCGAGGTTTTAGGTGTGAAAATTGTGGAAGGAAGTTATGAAAGCGAGATGGTGGATAAAGTCGCGTCTTCGTATTGAAAGACGAATATCAAGACCACCCTCACTACAGTGGGCATCCCATCATTCGGAGAGGAAGAGGTCTACACCTAATCCTCTCTTTTTAATTCAATACAAATAGAAATTAGTTTATTATTGAAAGTGTGCTCGGTACGGGACCGAGGTTTTAGGAGGAAAAGTTTAGAAGCGTCTTCGTATTGAAAGATGAGTGTCGAAACCGCCCTCACTACAGTGGGCATCCCAACACTCGAAGAAGAAGAGGTCTACACCCAATCCTCTCTCTTTAATTTAATACAAAGAATATGATTTAAAAATGTTTTCGAAGATACACTCGGTACGGGACCGAGGTTTTAGGAGGAAAAGGGGTGGAAGCGTCTTCGTATTGAAAGACGAGCGTCGAAACCACCCTCACTACAGTGGGCATCTCAACACTCGAAGAAGAAGAGGTCTACACCCAATCCTCTCTTTTTGATTCAATACAAAGAAAAATGAATTTATTATTGAAAGTATACTCAGTACGAGACCGAGGTTTTATGAGGAAATGATGAAGCGTCTTTGTATTGACAGACGAGCATCGAGACCACCCTCACTACAGTGGGCATCCCATCACTCGGAGAAGAAGAGGTCTACACCCAATCCTCTCTTTTTTAATTCAATACAATGAATTGATTTTAAGGAGATGAGATTTGAAAATGGATGGGAAGCGTCTTCGTATTGAAGGACGAGTGTCGGAACCACCCTCACTACAGTGGGTATCCCAACACTCGGAGAAGAAGAGGTCTACACCCAATCCTCTCTTTTTTAATTCAATACAAGGAATTGATTTTAAGGAGATGAGATTTGAAAATGGATGGGAAGCGTCTGTAAGATGGCTTAGAGCAAGATTCGCCATCACCATTTAGGAGCGTAAGTTCATTTTCAAAAACAATATAAGCTTCTGAAAATGCCTTAATACATTGATGGATTCTGAAGCAATTCCTTCCCACATTATTTGTTGGAAAAAGAGGATCATCTATGTGAATTGGATCAATGCTACAACCTCTTTCTCTCTTTATATAAAGTCCACTTCCCTGCACTGATATCCGCATTTGACGGGGATCAAACACATTCCCAAAAAAGTAAAGAAAATCCACCAGAAGACTTCCGTAATTTTGGTTGATCGGCCGGCCAAGATGGTGCTCATGCTGAAGAAAACGTATAATTAATAATACCAAACAGTAAGAACTTAAGCCACCAGAGTAGGACTGATCAAGGCTTCGATCTGCTAAAAACTGTTTTAGCACCAAAGCAAGAGGAGTAGCAGCAGGAAATTGTTCCGTCAACTCCTTGACCATTCCTGTAGTTTGGAGTCCTGTATGTGATGAGGACCTAAAGCTGATGTCAACACGAACTGATTTGGAATCTTTCAAATCATAAAAAATTAGTTTGAGACCTTTTCAGCAAAGCTGGGTCTTCTAACTGGATCGTATCAGAATGACTGTCATTACCATGTTCACCAGTTGTACACTGTGGCTCTTCCTTTAATGAGTTTAACATAGGAGCTGATGAAGTGATAACATCCTGGGGTACTTCCACCACGAGCATAATAATAGGTATAGCAGTATTTTCCACTGTCTTTAGAGAATCATTCTTTACCCATTCCTGATTGGCAAGATACCTAGCTGCATGCTGAAGACATGTTTCTTTAATACCATTACGACCTTCCAATATTCCAGCTTCTTTAATAGGTTCCAGGTTTCTCACTGGAGGGAGACAAACCACGAGGTCAACATCACTTGTTGGAAGAGCCATACCAGTGGCATTGGAACCAAATATGTTTGTCCTGGATCTTGGCCATAGAACCTGCAGAGATCGGGTAACTCTCTTGACAGCCCAATTAATGTAAGGCCTCCTTGCCATGTTTTCTGAGGCAACCTGTTTACAGAAAGAGTCAATCTCATCATGGAGCATTCCATGCATCAAAGATAGAGATGCACTTGTTGCAGAACAGCTTCGTAACTCAGCAGGTTGCAGAGGAATAGTGACATCCGGATGTTCCTGGTCACGTGCTATCTGTGACATCGCAATCAGGCGGTCCTGCAGCAAGGCAGCAGGTAAAGGTTGGATCAGAGGCTGCACTGCAAGGTTTTTACTTCTCCAGGAAGGCCACACAACTTCAGCACCATCCATTCTTAAACAAGCATCCTCTAAATTACTCCCATCATGATACCAGCCTCTCATTCCCCAGTGTCTTGGGCTGGAACTACCAGATCTAACAGTTGGAAAACCCCTTTGTTTCGTATTCGTTTATCATGGAGTTGTTGTGATGATATTGGGTCGGGCGTTTTTGGGTTTGTTCTTCAATGCGATGAAGAAAATGAAAAGTTTTTGAAGAAAATTGAGTGGTTTGGATGGTTAAACGGAAGAAGATACGGAGTGGGTGTGGGTTGGCCGGAAATGGTGAAACGGCGGAGGTTCGTCGAGAATGGCTTTGAAGGATGGTGATATGAAGGTTGTTTTGTGTTTGATGAAGTTTATGGATGTTAGTTGGTTAACGGAGTAAGGATTGGAGAGGTCGAAGATGATGATTTTGGTAATGGAGGGGGCGGCTGGAAACTCCTAGGATTAGGGTTGTGTCTTTGGAGTGTCTAGCAGCTAGGGTTGTCTTGGGAGACAATGAATAGTGCTCATATAAATAGGCTCGTGACACGTGGCAGCTGGGGTTAATGACTGATTAATGATGGTTTTGACTAAATGAACACGATTAATAAAGCTGACTTATGATTTACAAAACAATCTAAAACTGACTGTCACTTATATCCAAATATAATTAAACTAAAATTATTCTAACTAAATATTCTAATAAAATAATAAATAAATAAATAAACTGATAACTTTAAATACTCTAATTAATTCTAAAATCCTAATAAAATTAATATTAATCTAAATAAATAAAAAGAAAATAATAAATAAATAAAAACTAATTAATAAATAAAATCATAAAAAATATTCTATATAAAATTAATAATTAAAACTAATTTCTGTCCTAAAAAAACATAATTCTAAAAACTATTAAATCTTAAAAATAATTTTTTTTAAATTAGTTAAAAATCTAACTACTTAAAATTTTATCTCTATTAAAAATGTATTAAACTATTTCTAAATCTAAATAATAAAACAAAACATGTTAAAACGAAAATAGTAAACAAATTGATATTTACAAGAAAAAAAATAAATTAAAAAGGATTGAAAATTACAAAAATGCCCTCTTGCCACGTGTCACGCTCCTATTGGGCAAAAATATTCGAGATTTGAAAAACGCTCAATCGGGGGCGAACACGTGTCTAAACGACATGAAATTAAATAAAAAAGCAAAAATGGAAAATACGAAAATATTTACAAAAGCTGGCGGGCAAATTTAGGGTATGACAGATGCCCCTATCTAATCGGCTTAGACCGAGTAAGATGAATTACTGCAGCATTCATCTTTCAAGGTATAAGTCGATTAGATACAAAGAAGACCCTGAATTTGTCCAAAAAAGGAAAACAAAAATTTGAGAAATGAAATACAGACAAACCTGACACCCAAAAGGATGTAGGGAGATAAGCTTCTCCGAAGAGATTGCCACTTATCGCTGATTTTAAATGATATGCCCCTGACTGGGCTAAATTTGTCGTTGAAGATGGATAAGCTTCTCTGAAGAGATTGCCACTTATCGTTGAAGATGGATAAGCTTCTCTGAAGAGATTGCCACTTATCACTGAAGATGGATAAGCTTCTCTGAAGAGATTGCCACTTATCACTGAAGATGGATAAGCTTCTCTGAAGAGATTGCCACTTATCGCTGAAGATGGATAAGCTTCTCTGAAGAGATTGCCACTTATCGCTGAAGATGGATAAGCTTCTCCCAAGAGATTGCCACTTATCGTTGAAGTCTGCTGGAGATAACTTACTGGGGAATGCCCATGAATTTACTGGAGATGCCCCTGTCTGGGTTGAATGTTGATTTGAAGATCTTGATTAACCACGAGTTTGAAGTATGTCGTGGGAAATACCCATGGTCTTGAAAAGATGCCCCTGACTGGGCCGGACCTTGCTTTGATATCTTGAATTTCATGGGATGACCCACGACCCTTGCAAATAATGCCCCTGCTTGGGTTGTATGTTGCTTTGAAGCTCTTGAGTTTGTGGGAGGACCCACTATCTTGCAGAAATGCCCCTGACTGGGCTGATGATGATCTTGGGAATCTTCAAGATTGATCCTGGATCTGAACTCGCATACGCGGATGCTTAATGATAATGATGTTCCATAAATGGAAATGCAAATGCAAATGCTAGAGCGCGAAGATGCAAGGGCTGGAGAAACATGATACGATATTGGATATGCGTATGATGCAAGATGATTATGATGTCGAATGTGATGCGTATGATGCATATGATGCGTATGATCGCATATGGGTGATTGAAAACGCAGGTGCCGCCAGGGTGGACTTGGGTGGTTGCCAGTGCTGATTGGACTTTGGGATGGAAGTACCAGATGAGGGCTGGTATTCGGAGGGTAAACCAGATGGGACTGGTTGGCGAAAGGTTAAGCTGTCAGACGAGAACTGACTTCTAGGTTTGGTGTCAGACGGGAACTGACTTCTAGGTTTGGTGTCAGACGGGAACTGACTTTGTGGTTTTCCAGACGAGGACTGGACTTTGAAATTGTTTTTTTCAGACGAGGACTGGTTAAACGGAAGGTGACCAGATGGGAGCTGGTTCAAAAGCTGACATATACCAGACGGGGCTAGGTATTCAGCAAAGGGTTAACCAGATGGGACTGGTTTGAAGGTTACAAGGTTTTGACAGGTAAGGATTGGACTTTGGAGGTTTGGTTTGTTTTGATAGGTGACAGGTTTAGGTTGTGGGATGACGGATCCAATGACAGCAAGGCCTTTTCGGAAGGTTAAGGTTTATTGGGTGAGGTGATGGTACGATTCCCCGACACTCGTTTTGAACTCAACAGTTGCTGACGAAAATGAACTTGCTTGAGTAACTTGCCACGAGACGACCTCGAGATTGGCTTACCCCAGAGTTTGTACCACGAAAGGATTCATCATTATCTAACCAATTCTTGTGGTAGTTGGCTTCAATATACTCTTGGGAGTAGCTTGCTCTTGAAAGAGCGTTAAAGCGACTTAACTTATCCTGATTAAACATTGAAGGGATATATCCTCAAGTCAAAGAAACTCTGGGTGGCCTGCCCCTGATTGGTATGATTCACTTTTGATCAACCGCTTCTTGAATGTTTTGCCCCATAATCAACCGTTGCTTGGGGATTTGCCTTAGACTGACTGATTCCAAATTCGCGGGATGACAACGCCTCAGTTCCATAGGGCTACAAAGTACGCTCGATTCTGATCCAGACTGCTGAATGGTCCAATCCTGTTTGATTACTTTATGTTGGAATTTCCTCGATGCCAACCATTGTCTTGCAATTAAAATTGTTTGTTCACGAATGGTAATCTTAATGCAAAGTTCGTGCAAGTTTTGAAAGAATTGTCGTTTATTTAAGTGTCGTGAGAGTGAAACGAAAGGACCATTTAATCCAAACGTTGTGCTACTTGATTGGTGTAAAAGATATAGAAAGGATATTGACACCAAAGCTGATGATTAACAAATATGTGGGGAGTCAGGTTACGCAACCTTGCGATAGTATGCTTTCAGAATAAACCTCGACTCAATTAGGTCTTTCGAGGGTTGTAACGTGGTCTGGTTCACGGTTATAGAAACAAAGGATATTAGGCTCAAAGTTAATTTGTACCCACCCCTTCTTCTTGATGACTTCCAGTCCTACGTTCAGTTAATTATGCACCTGCTTGACGGTGTAAGCTTGATGGTCAAAGGTTTGCTTGAGATGACAGTCTCCTTATTTTGATGGATGTTAGTAGCTCCTTGATTTGGGTGGCCACTGAATCTTATTTTTTGTTTTTGTTGAGGGTTTGAGGACCTCTTTTGCTTTTGTTTTTGATCCCTAACTTTTGCATGGACTGATTCTGCTTGTCAGATCCATCGGGATTGCCTTGATTTTTGCCTAAGTCCCCTTTGAGGTGCTTGACTTAGCAGGCTTTTTGATTTTTTTAAATTTTGTTGGAAGATTATGACTGCCACGTCATGGGTCATTGATGAACAGCCGTCTTCTGGATTTTGCTTTATGCATAGTGGATTAACTGAACAACTACCCTGCCCCAGGTTGAGTGTAAGGGTTTGAATATCCGAAGGAAACTCCTACTTCTAGGCTCGAAGTGGTTGACTAGGGATTAACTCCTTATATCTCCGGTGTTTAGGGGATTTGAAACAATGCCTGTACATCATCGACGAGATTCTATCTGAAAGCATACAATTTGCAATTATGTTAGTTGGTTAACGGAGTAAGGATTGGAGAGGTCGAAGATGATGATTTTGGTAATGGAGGGGGCGGCTGGAAACTCCTAGGATTAGGGTTGTGTCTTTGGAGTGTCTAGCAGCTAGGGTTGTCTTGGGAGACAATGAATAGTGCTCATATAAATAGGCTCGTGACACGTGGCAGCTGGGGTTAATGACTGATTAATGATGGTTTTGACTAAATGAACACGATTAATAAAGCTGACTTATGATTTACAAAACAATCTAAAACTGACTGTCACTTATATCCAAATATAATTAAACTAAAATTATTCTAACTAAATATTCTAATAAAATAATAAATAAATAAATAAACTGATAACTTTAAATACTCTAATTAATTCTAAAATCCTAATAAAATTAATATTAATCTAAATAAATAAAAAGAAAATAATAAATAAATAAAAACTAATTAATAAATAAAATCATAAAAAATATTCTATATAAAATTAATAATTAAAACTAATTTCTGTCCTAAAAAAACATAATTCTAAAAACTATTAAATCTTAAAAATAATTTTTTTTAAATTAGTTAAAAATCTAACTACTTAAAATTTTATCTCTATTAAAAATGTATTAAACTATTTCTAAATCTAAATAATAAAACAAAACATGTTAAAACGAAAATAGTAAACAAATTGATATTTACAAGAAAAAAAATAAATTAAAAAGGATTGAAAATTACAAAAATGCCCTCTTGCCACGTGTCACGCTCCTATTGGGCAAAAATATTCGAGATTTGAAAAACGCTCAATCGGGGGCGAACACGTGTCTAAACGACATGAAATTAAATAAAAAAGCAAAAATGGAAAAT